AGTGCAACACGTTAGCATGCTTTACAAATCACACCACTCTAACATGTTTTGCAAGCATCAAGTAGACAAGCCCTGACTCCTGCATCAAGCCTGTTACACAGCTCTGAAGGCAGGGGACCAGCATGTTCCATGTCTCGTTGGACTGAGGTCAGCTCAGTGCTTTATATCAGAGCCTGGTGGTTTGAATAATCAGATATAGCAGTCAAGACTTATTTCCCAAACCAAATGTATTGAAAATAGATTGGAATGTCTGTTATTGCCAAGAAAAAATAATAGCTTTACTGATCCCCTTTAAGTTTTCCCTTTGCCAGTTGTACAGCAGCGTTAACACACTGGATACCTTCAGTGCTTCAGCAATCCCTTGGCCAAATTTAGGGCCCATCTCACCCTAGTGATCTCTCTGATCAGTTGATTTTCCCCTCACTTGCTTGGAACAGCCTGAATAAAGAGGCAGTGTTTGTTTAGCTTGCAGGACAGATTCAAAGCTGAATTCCAATCTGAGCTGTGCAAATGCAAGGTGGGTTGTATGTTAGTTCCATTGCACAAAGGTCATGTATAGCCAAATAACATTTCCTACTGGTTAAGTACAAGTCTAATGTATGAAGTCAATGGTGTAAAAAAAAAATCAGTATTATTGTTGAAATACCTGGCCAATCAGCGAGCTGCTGCATTCTCAGTATAATTCACAGGACATTTATTTACTGTGTTTGAACAAAACAGTCTGAAAATGAGCTGCAGCATGTGGCTGCTGCAAAGAAAGAAAACAGGGTGATTGGATGTATAAAGAGGGGAATTATAAAGTGAAGTGAAGGTGGTAATGAGGCTGCTGTATAAGGGCCTCATCAGGCCTCATTTGGAATATTGTGGGAGTATTAAAGCTTGAGCTTAATACTTTAAAAAAAAGACATTTGAATGTTAGAAAAATGTGTCTAGAGAAGTGAAGCAAAGCTAATTTAGGGTACGGGGAGAATGTCTTCTTAGTAAAGATTTCACGAATTGAACACATTTATCCTAGAAAGAGAAAGGAAGCTTAGCTGCATACCTAATTAAGGTTTACAAACACCTGACATGATGCCACAAAGGCTCGAATAAGAATCTGTTCACGCGATGTGAAAAGGGCAAGATTCAGAGTGTAGCCCATATTAACCCAAAAAAACAGGCAACAAGGGGAATGGACACAGGATGCAGAAAGAAAAGTTTAGGTTGGATATCAGAAAATGACATTTTCGCCCAGAGGGTCTTTAACATACACAATAGGACTCCTAGCAACCTAACGGGGGCCATTAGTGCTAATGGATTGAAATCTAGGATGAGGACTTCTTCAGTAATCAATAACATTTCTAAATACACCTGCTTAAAAAGGAGAAGGCAGGAGTGGACTAAAATGATTGATGGTTCTCTCTGTTCAAACATGTTTTTGTTCCCATTTATACACACCAAAAATCCTAAGTACTTTATTTACAATGAATGAACACAATTCTGGTTAAGAGCCACTGAAGTTTTATTGCATACTCATAAAAGTCCCCAGAAATGATTCAGCCCCCACTCTGCACCTGCTATCATGCTGGCCTCCCTGCATGTCTGGAGAAAAGGGGAATACCAATGGTGAGAGGAGGACTGGGAAAGATGGGAGTGGGACAAATCAGTGCTCTCCACTACTGCTATTCTGGCTTGTGTCACTGCCCCAGGTAGTGGGGAGAGGCTGCTGTAACTTAGAGCATCCCCTCAGCTGCATAAATTATGTCCGTTGCCATTTTGCCAACACTGGGAGGACACAAAGGTGGTTTAAATCCTTGCCTCGGCCTTCTGTGCTTTGTCAATGTACAGCACAGAATCTGACCCACAGACTGGAGAGATTTACTTAGACCTGCTTTTCAAAAAATCAGATGCACAACTGTGCACCTGACCTGCTCGTGTAGTTACCATGATAAGATACACACACTGGCTATCCACATTAATTACAAACACACCAGGACACTTGCAGATACAAATACCTGAATCATGCTGAGTGTCCATGAAATTGTACACATAATTGCACAGGCATTTCTGTATGCACAACTGCACATGTAACTTTTTTGGAAAAAAACCACGCTCATTGTGTCATCTAGTCCTCATCTCCCTGCTAGTACAGGCTTTTTTCTCTACAGTATCTTTTCAAGGGCTTTGTCTAGTTGAGTATTAAGTATCTCACAAAATGATGAACTGCATTTCTCAGGGTAATTTTAACACATTAAGATTCAAAGCTGCTATTTTTTTCAAGCAACCTTAAGTTTAACCCCCACTCACCGAACTTAAGATCACTTTCTAAATGCACTGTAACACGTGGGTTAAAATGATGCTTAAAGAATTCTGATTCCACTGTAGTTTTCATATAGACAGCCTGAAACAGAAGAATGCTGCATATGTCTGTCAAAGTGAAGTTAAAAATCTCTCTGTGTTAGTCAGACTAGGGTGGGATAATTCCATATTCAGTAATCATTCTGTGATGATGATTATTCACAAAGGTACATCAAGTGCTAATTTATACATCTGAATTATCTGCTCTTAGGGCTCCATCCTGAAAGATGCTTAGTAACTTCTGGAACTGAAATTCATGGGAATTGAGGGCACTAAGCATCTTGCCGCATTGAGCTTCTATTACAAAATATATGCCTGACACTCTATCCTCAGCTGGTGTGAATCAGCACGATTCACTCGACTTCAAAAGAGGTGCACCAGGCTTCACCGGGTTCTGGCTCTTGATTTTTAAAAGAGTGCTGTCCTGATTTCAGATATTGTCATAATATCTTATGTTTCTCCTCCCATACTCATTTAACACTAGAAAATGTAAACACAAATAATATTTTATTCATTTCCATATTGTTTTGGAGGTCACATTTTGCAATACATTCAGCTAAGTATGAAATGTAATACTCAAAGGGAGCAGCATTTTCTTTAAAAAACTATAGCCCAGCTAAACATTGCAGCTATCATTAAATGCACCAAAGTTTACAGATCAATGTTGTAGTGACAGATGTCAGAGCACATCAAAACTTTTTGGCACAAAAATGCTCGACTCTAAAACAAATTAGCATTCCTCCAGGAGAGATGTCTAATTGTTACACTGCTGATGCAGTCGCTATAAAAGATTTAAACACCAGGTTTCATTATTATAGGGAGTAGAGGGAGGGGAGGAGAAGGAAGAAAGGAAAACTGAACATGTCATACACAAATACTTTTTCTGAAGTATTGTATTTACACAAAATTAGAGAGATTACAAATACTTTACTAAGTAGACAAAATCATGATAAAGCACATTCAGCTTTAACACTAGCCAGCTATAGGTGCAGAACATGGAGGCCTAATTTACTTGCATGGCAATAGAGCATTAGAAAGGCCTCAACTTTTGAAAGCAGAGGATAACATGATGACGTATTTGTTATTCAGTATGAGCCTTTTCATTGACTTCAGTGAGATTTTAATAGGGCCCTATAATCCTCTCAGATTGCAGATAATGGGCTCAGTCCTTCAAACTGCTGAACACCTGACCCTGGTCCTGCAAAGTGCTTAAACATATGCTTAACTTTAATCATGTGCATAGTCCCATTGACTTCAATAGGACTTACGTAAGTGCTTAAAGTAAACCACATGCTTAAGTGCTTTGCTGAATCAAGATCAGAATTCTCAGCTTTTTGCAGGATCAAGGCCAATATTCTATCCCTAATTTTAATGCTACTATAACCTAAAAAATAAAGACAAACTCTATACTTTGTCTTATAGGTATTCTTCTTCTTAAAAATACATTTTAAAATTGATTTTGTTTGGCTACAAAGCATTAGTTTATTGAGCTCCACAGAACACTGCTCATTCATATCCATTATAGCATATAATTGATGGACTACTGTTCATAATTTGTTCCAGTATTTACCAAAAGACTTTTTAGATTAATAATAATAATAATAATAATTAATAATAATTAAGCAGTAATAAAGTAATTAAATAGGTAAATCAAAGGCAAAAGCTCATACCATATTGCTGCTATTCACCAAATTTACCTGATGTGTGAAAGATTTTTCCCCATTATATTTTCTTTAAAAATAATTACTCTCTTTTATCCTGGTATATGTTATCAGATAGCTCTTGAACAAAAAATATCTTAAATATAGTGTCACTTCTACAAACTAATTGACCTGATTTCTTCCTAATGAAAGGTATGTTGAGTGGACCTGGCTCAGTGACATAAATTACAATGGTAGTTAACTAAACTCTGATTATGTCTTTGTTGCTGTCACTGCGATTATTGTAATTATGTGGTATCACAAAAGTGCTAAATATTAGTAAATCAGATACATAGTAACAAGACAACTTTGGTTATGCTTGATAAAATACTGGCATAATGAATACACATACCACTTTTAAAGTTTATGTTACAATCATGTTGTCTTATAATAAATAATAATAATCTCATTTTCAAAGTGCCCATCCATAATACCCATTCTAGGCATCAATACATCAATTAAAATACTCTTTTAAAATGTTCTAAAACTAAGACAAATCCAGTATTGCAGATGCAAATATACTGTACAAATGTTGCTCCAACTATCTGTTCATGCCCTAGGCTTCAATGGTCGCATAATCTTTGTTTTAAAAGAGTAGGATGCTGGATCCTCAGTAAAATACCAGGACACGGCATCTGGAATGTTATAGGCTATAAAAGTTAAACCCCAAACCTTGAACTTACTCCACTTGCCAAGAAGCAGTCAGTGCAGAAGGCAAAGTAGTGGCCTGGCAGAATCACCTCTGCCCATCCCTGACAGTCTCTCTGCGGCTACATTCTGTACTAAATGCAGACAATGGAAGAGCCTGTTTTGAAAGCCCACAATCAAATGCACTGCACAAATCCAGCTTTCATATCCAAAAGGTATGCTTCACCATTGTCCAGTCAACATGTGATAGATCAGGTGATATCCTTCTGTTGGCAAAAGTCAGACCTAACTTGAAGACTAATGACTGTCAGGATGTTAGCATGTTCTGTGTAAGCAATAATCATTTTCAGTGTCTAGAGAGCTGTTGTAGCCAGATGAAGGATACAGATCCCTTTTAAGTATCCTATTGACAATGTTGATCATGACTTTCTTGTACTGTTGACGTAAAAGCGAATAAACAAATGGATCTGATGCAGCCTTACTGTAGGTGAGGCACTTGCTTACAATCCCCCAGTAGTAGTTTATGGTAACAAAAGGAAGAAGTTCTATCAACCTGTTAATCATTAACAAAGAGGAAAAGCTGAATGTTACATCCACACTAGCAAACTGTTCAACTCACATTTTCAGGCATAATAGCATCTTAAGAATTAATTTTTATACTATACAGCACCTGAGGGGATGATCCTGCAGTCATTACACAGGTAAATTTATGGGAGATTTTTCTGAGTAAGGACGGCCATGAGGAGGAAAAAGTGTTTTAACTATATATTTAAACACTGAGGTCACATACTCCCATGTCTTGTATACAAAGAAGTGTAGCAACTTATTGCAAAACCTTCTGCCTAATTCTATTTGGTGAGCTGTCCTAGCAATTGGCAATATATTCAAGATCTCAGTGCTGTCTGACAAGGTTTTGCCTTCCTGACTGCTTCCCTCTCCCTAGGTAAGCTGTAGAAAGACTTGTAAGATGTATTATAGAATATGGAGCTATATATTAATATATCCTTATGTAATGATATTGTGAAATGTTATGTATGAAGAGAGAATACATGATGCATTGGTGTGATATAAAGCACCTCAAGATAATACACATTGTCTCATGAACATTTGCTCTCATTCTCGATCATTCAGACTACTTCCCCTCTCTTTTGCAATCACAAGATATCTGTGTGCAAACTACTGCAATTGTTTACTTGGAAAAGTGAAATGAAGAAAGTATTTATGCATTTTTAACTGTCTGTTAATGTTATTTAACAGATGGAAACAAGGAAGTGATGTCATTGCTATGTGACCAGCTACCTGTCTTTAGACCACCACCATGTGCTCTGTGAATCACCAGTAGTCACTGAACCACAGGTTTGGAATCTTGGGCATAAAGGCTTTGTCAGCATGAGTTTGGTGCATTAATCATGAGTAAGGCAGCGAGTCTGTCATGGAGGTCATGGAAGTCACGTATTCTGTGACTTTCTGGGATCTCTGTGACTTCTGCAGTGGCCGGTGCGGCTGACCCAGGGACCGCCTGAGCAACTCGGCTGGCCCCTGGGCCAGCTGCACTGACTGCTGCTGGGGCAGTCTCAGGCCACGGCGCCCCCCCCCCACCGCCACCCCCAGCAGCAGCAGAAGTTTTGATGTGTGAGGGGGCTCAGGGCTGAGGCAGAGGGTTGGGCTTTGGGTGCAGGAGGGGGTGAGGGCTCGGGGGGGGGCTCCCCGGAAGCAGCAACATGTCCCTCCCTTGGCTCCTAGGTGGAGGTGTGGCCTGGCTGCTCTGCGCACTGCCTCTGCCTGTAGGCACCGCCCCCTGCAGCTACCATTGGCCACGGTGCCCTGCCAGCCCTCACCTCCCCATCAGCAGCAGTGGGGATCCCAGGCCGCACCCCCAGAGTACCACAGTGCCCCTGGGCCACCCTCCCCAGAGCATCCACAGTGCCTCGGGGCCACCTCAGGGGTATATAGTACAAGTCATGGACAGGTCACAGTCCGTGAATTTTTGTTTATGGCCCGTGACCTGCCCATGCCTTTTACTAAAAATACCCATGACTAAAATGTAGCCTTAATCATGAGTGGTGAAACTGAGTTACAGAACTGAGTTAAGAAGGTCATCTCACCATACTATAACATCATGTATTCTGCGTATGTCACATCTGCTACTGAAAAACTCTTTTAATAAAGTGGAGAGGTTTCTTTACAAAATTATTTGTTTAATTTTTCATATCTATTCACCCACAAAGCCTTAATTACCATGGGGCCAGCTGCACAGAACTCAGAAGACACCATAAATACCTTTGAGACTGACCTAACCTAGCTTTTTTATACATTAAAATGTAATGATTTCGAAGTGTGATCTCCCAGGCATTCCCAGAGCTAGGAATGAGGTCTTGGTCTCTTTAGGAAGCTTGGAATTTCCCTTTTCTTGTAGTACAAAGCTCTCATTTTTCAGGGCTGAAGAATATTGGATTTTAAAGTTATATGCCTATAAAATCTGGCACACATCCAGGACAGAATCTTGCCCATCCTGGGCCTCAGATAGGTGAAATACTGCAGCAAATTCCACAGATGTGTGTGTGCATAGGGTGGGGAGGGGAGAACACTTCTCTGGCAAGTGGATTTAAAGAAGGTAGCTGATATCTGTAGCTGCTCCAGTGCTTGGATTGTTAGAACAAGTCTCAGGGAGATGGATTAATGACAGAAAGCAAGCAAGGAGGTCAAAAAGTGCATTATAAATAAGTGTATCATGTGGATCTGCAATTTATCACATGGTACATGGTTCCTCAGTTTATCCTATCTTGGATATCACCTCCACATATGGGACATATACTTGATCTGTACAAAATGAATATTTTTGTAGAACACTGTCAAACAGAAGAACTGTATATATAGATATACTTGAGTGTGTCTGTGTATTATACAATAGATTATGGTCCCATAATCTAAAGTAAATGGGAAAACTCCCATTGACCTCAGTGAGATAAAGCTATCCCATTGATAGCAATGCTGTTATAGTAAGGATGAACTTCATCCATTGGGTTTAGTCCCAACAGACAGAATTTATTGTTGATTTTGAAAATCTCAGTAACATTTCTGAAGTTAGGGGCAAATCCTGATCTCAGAGCATAGCCTGAGTAGCCAGACAATGTGCTGGGGAATCCTCTATTCTAGAGCATCCATGAAGACTATTCTAACTCAAAGGCTGGTGTGGTCTCTGTGGACTCGACACAGCCCATCAAGTGGGGAAAGAACAGAAGGTCTGCATGGCAACCAATATTCCAGCCCTACCCCAACCTTCCCCCTGGCCTAACCCTGCAAGGACCCTCATAGATGCTTATGTAGCCCTCCCCAAATCCTTTCCATTCTGCTGCCCTCTGAGGCCATGGGAGCAGGGACAAAATTCACCCCTTGATAAGTGCATTTTAATTTTCTCGCTACTGACGTATGCAGTGTCACTTAGTGCATTAAGAAAATGCATTAGCTGACATTTACAAAACACCTTGTCTGGGGAATGGAGTGGCTTTTTGTTTCAATTGTTTATGGGAAATATTTCAGAATTAAAATGTGTCTGGAGGCCGGAATTTGCTGAACAGAGTATAATACAGCCTGAATGAAAATGGCAGAATCCATCCTTTGCTTGATATAGAGTTTTAGCTTGATGGTCATAATAATGAACAGAAAATGACTCATAAGGTACTGAACATTAATTAATTAACCTTTTAACTTTCTGGTGTCAAGTTAATAATTGTTACAATTCTTCTAGAAGAAGAGGAAATGCAGCTGCCTAGCCAATCAAGCAAGAACCTTTCAACTAATAAAAAAGTGAAATAATAAAACGTGTCATCTCAAAAGTTAAAACATACATAAGCAAAGGTTGGTAAAATTGAGAACAATTTATATGTTCTGTCCTTCAAAGTTTTCCTTGGTCCAGCTGTCCCATTGAAGCCAAGTGTGGTAGGAACAGGGTGAGCGAAGATGATAGAATATGGCCCTAATTATGCAAAATCAGCATACCAAAATCAAGATTTTGAAAAGTTAGTAGTGTTTTGGGTGCCTCAGGGTTTGGGTCTCCAGCCTGATGTGTCTTCAAAGGGCCTGATTTTAAGAAGATAGATGCTCAACACTTTCTAAAAATCAGGTCCCTTCAAGGTATCATAAATTGGTCACCCAAAAAATTCAGGCTCCCACAAAAAACAAGTCACTTTTGAAAATCATGACTCAGTTTCATCCATATTAAAAACGATGGGCTGGATTCTCAGTTGGTGTCAATCAGTGTAGCTCCATTGGCTTCTACCCTGCTGATTTACACCAGCTGAAGATCTAGTCTGCTGACATTTTAACTAACCTTTGATTTAAGGTTATTTCTTAGTGTTTAGGAGCTGACACTTCCTGGAAAACTATCCTGCACCATTGAAGTTAGTAGGAGTTTTGCCACTGACTTCCATGGGCACAGGATTAATCCTAGATTATTTCACCAATAATATTTCCTGGCATAGAAACTATGGGCCAGATCATCAACTGGTGCAAATCTTTGTGGTGCCATTTAAGTCAATGAGCTTCAACCAGTTGAGGAACTAGTCATATGCCTCTAAAAAGCATATATATATATAGGAAAAACTGTCCCTGCTTTACTGTCTATTTTATCCTTCAGTGCCTGAGTCCATCTTTGGACTAAATAATGGAGGTGCTGATGATAAGCCAAACTGCTAAAAAAAAAAACCCAATGGGATGTGATGAACTCCTGGTTTCAGTCCTAAAAGCCCACTCTTTCTGGAAGAGGCATTTATACCTTGTTGTAAAAGACAAACAAAAAGATCTTATAAGACTGCAACGTCTCATATTACTTTATCAGTTTACCAATTAATCTGGTTTAGCATGATTTGGCTCCCTGTGTTTATATGTTCATATTTCCCCAAATCTATCACCCTTCCTCCAACCCAGTATCCCTAATACTTTTAAGGAAGGTTTGTTTGTTTATTGTTATCATCTCAATGTCTTTTTGCTGTCCCAGGAATCTTGGGGTAGCTTATTCTTGATGACATATTGCCCCAAAGGCTCCCGGAAGAGGCAGGGAGTACTAACCTGGTGATAATGTAAGGAGCAAAGCAGATCACGAAAGACCCTATAAAAATACTGATTTTCTTAGTAGCCCGCTGCCGCCTCCTTTTCTGCTCATTAAGACAACGCTGTTTGACGCTGAAAAGGGAAAATAACAATCACTGCGTTAAGACAAGACGCGAGGAGACTCTTGAGCCAACAGTAAAGTCTGCCATCGAGACTCGGTTTCAGGTGCGGGAACTTGTCAAATGAAGGGTATGAGACCGAACAAAAGCCCCGAACCCACCAACCCTCTGGATACTTTTAGCGACATAAACACCCATGAGGGACTCAGCCATTCAGTGTCCTGGGTTTTCTGGGAACCTTCGCTTCCCGTTTAAACAAAGCTGTCTATCAATATACAGCCACAGGCTTCTGACACTAAATGAACAGATGAATTAATTAAACAGTCTTTGAAGTTAGAAAAGAAACGCTGCACGAGAACGGGCCATCATGTCTGCAGGACATGAACGAAGACGTCAAAAGGTGCTCAGGAAAGCAAGACGTGGCTTTTGGGTCCTTAAGGGAGAGGGTGATTTAAAACACATCGGAATTAACACATACACACATACACACACACACATTACCTGGGATGGATATCTACCAGCAAAACCAGCGTTTGCATTGTAATAATGTCTATCCTTTTGCAGTGGAACCTGGCCACTTTAAACACCTTTAAGTAGGTGAAACACAGTATCACCAGGGACAGCATGAAACTGGTGGCGTGAAACACGATGGTGAACACGGTAAACCTCCTCCTCTCCGTCTCTTCTCCCAGGTGCAAGGTGCAGGAGGCATACACGTTGCTATAATCTACCCAAGAGAAAAACAAGGAGACCAAAGGGAAGGTCAAGGAATGAATCCAGGAATAGCTCATCAGAATCACGGCGTCTTTGTACCGCATCTTGCTGGTGTAACTCAAGGGGAACACCACGGCAATCCACTTGTCTATGCTGAGGGCTGCCATGCTCAGCATGGTGTTGGAGGTGAGGAAAGTTTCTAGGAAGCCCACCGCTTTGCAGATGCAGTCACCGACGGGCGGCTGGTTTCTCAGGATCCCCAGCAAAGTGAAGGGCATGTTTAAGACTGTCAGGAGCAGGTTGCAGAAGGACAAGTTCACCAGGAAGACCCCGGGGACTTGCTTGCGGAGCTCGGTACTGTAGATGAAGCATAGCAGCACCAGCAGGTTGGACAGCAGAGAAATAACGAGCACCAGCACCAGGAAAAAAGCCAAGAGAACTCCTGCCAAGTCCATTTCTTACCAGGTAGCCATGCGTCCCTTGGTGAGCAGAGGGTAGGCGTCAGAGATGGAGCGGCAAGGGGACATGGCAGGTGCCTCTCGGGGGGACTTCCAGAGATCCCCAGGCATGTTGGTGGAGACTCTGGGTGGATCTGAAGCTCAGGCTGCCGGAAAGCACAGGCGACCGGCCAGCCGGCGCTGTCCAGGGTCCTGAAACGATCCCACCCTCTCCCCAGGTTGCGCCCGACCTGCCCGCTTCAAACCGCAGGCAGAAGTTCCTCCTTTCCCATTCCCCGACCGACCGACCCGGGCACCGGGGGGAGGCACCTGCTCAGCTCCCAGCGAGCCCCTCCGGCTTCTCTTCGGCCGTTCGGCAACTCTGGTGCTCAGTCCCTGAAATAGTCAAACCTCCCCAGCCTCCCGGGGTGACTCATGCGCAGACTGGGAGCGGCGAGCCACAGCCTCACTCAGGGAGCGCGGAGCAGCTTTGCCTCCCCTCTTCGCTCAGCACAGATCAGCTGGGAGAGCCGCCGGCCAGCAAGGGCGAGACAAACTTCCCCCTAGCCCGCGGCAGAGGAGGGATCCGTGCAGCAAGCTGCCAATTAGTTATTAATCCTTTGGCGATTAATGATGCTCATTCATCACCGGCAAGGTGCCTGGTGTTTTGCAAGACACGCCAGTATCCTAGTAGTTATGATGACTGGGGGGGGAGGAGGGGGTTATTTCATTTATTAGTATTTGGGAGGGGGGATGTGGCTGTAGCCAACTTGGCCCTCATATCGCAGAGCAGGTTTCCCCTGCTCGTTTTGAGTGATGTCTTCTCTGGCACCATTTCCCCTACCTCCTCAAAGAGCCTACAGATGCAGTCAGCATTCAGGGACGGGGACCATCTCCCATGGGTCATCACCAGAACAAAGAAATCCAGCAGTGGGGAGTGTTAATGTACCGCACAACCTGAGCCCCGCTACCCCTGGACTAACCCTTCTATTAAACCTGTAGACCCTGTTGGCTAAGGAAGTGACAGGCCCAAGGTTGTGATAGCACTTTCAGTAGACACCTAAGGTCTCTCTGAAACCACTTTCAAATCAAACTGTTAGTCGATAGGGAAAATATTTTCATAGTTAGACGACTCCGTTCTTTTTCTTTCATCTAATAGTCACAGGGGAGAGCCGAACAAGATTTTAAAAGGCATACTTAAGGAAGACCCACAGTACTTTAGGGAAAGTTTGGGGGTTATTGGCAGAAATGACATGTGGACAGCAACTGTCCCTACATGCTTCACAGAAGGTTGATCACACAGAGACACCACAAGCCTTGTCCTTACATAAGAAAGAAATGCATTTATTTTGTTGTATCAAAACAGTGGCACAGAAATAAATTGCCAGGTCTAACCACTGTCACATTTTTCAGTTGATCTCCAGTGCTGAAAGGAAGAAAGAAGAGAGAGAGCTTGCTTGCCACCAAAAATGAGCATTATGATCCTAAGAAGATGGTGCAATACATATGCAATTACACAATGTAGACTTGTAAAGTACATGTTCCCACAGTAGGAATAATGTTATTTTTAAAATGCTCTTTAAGGGCCTGATCTAAAGCCCATGGAAGTCAACAGGAATCTTTCCATTGATTTCTGTGGGGTTTGGAACAGGTCCTAATTGAAAGAGTTGCCATGGTAAGGTTTTATGTTTTAATGAAAGCACAGAGCAGGGTAGCATGAAGTGTGTTATCTGGAAATGTGTGCTGTGTTATACCTGAGGACAACACTGAAGTAGGATGAATGTTTTCTCTCATTAGTAAGGTGTCACTTCCCAAGTCACAAAATGGTGAATAAATCTGACTATCAATATAGTTGTAAATTCATATCAACGTTTCAAAAAATCCTATAAAAGAGAGAGAATAACATGAACACCTTTGCTGCACAGCCTGTGAGTTGGGCTGCTAAATCTGTAGCTTCAGGGGGCCACTCAAAGCCAGAGCTGGTAGAGGGCCTGCAGGGAAAGAACCATCATTTAAAGAGCCTTGTGCATCCACGAAGAGCAGTGGTTCTCAACTTATTACATATCATGATCCCTTTTTCCACACCAAGACCTCTCCAGGACTCCACTCCCATCTAGCTGGGATTAGTCATGACCCACATTCCATTTAGTAATATTGGAAGGGTAGGGTGCTTGTAAATGTCTGACACCTGATGTTAGTGACCTCCTGTTTAGTATTGTGAAGTGAAGCAGCTCTGACTTTTAATTATGACAAGGCCAACTATATATATGTATAACACTCTCCTACAACATCTTCAAGAGCAGCCCTTTTCTGTCAGTTCCAAATGGAGGAGTTGAGAAGCTGGAAGGACGGCTATAGATATATAATCATGTGTCTATACAGTTTTTGAAAGTTTCCCCCTAAAACCTTTTGTCTAAAGCAGTGATACTCAGACCTCAGTGGTTCAGGACCCAAATTAGTGATCAACATTACCCAAAAGAGCCACAGTAGTGTGAATCCATTGTTTCATTTAATATGGTACTATATTCTCATATTTAAACAGTATGACAGGAAAATATTCTCACAGCAAAAGGACTGAACCAAGTGTTATTACTTTATCAACTAAAGTTGGTTAATAACATAGTAAAAGCCTCCTTTTTGGTTAATGACTTAGGCTGGTTAATAATTAAATCACACAGGTTTTTAATATCATGTGCTGCAAAGACCAGCGGGAGATACATTAAAGAGCCCCTTGCGGTTCCTAAGCCTCAGTCTGAGTATCACTGCTCTAAAACAAGCTTTTCAGAGGAAGAATGGATTGTTTCTATATACTGGCAAAGAGATGAATAAATTAAAACAAGCTGGAAAAAAATGGGAACAGAAGCAGGAAGTAAAACAAAGAAATCAGAGTTCTTGTTAGATATGTATGTCTCCACCTTGCAAAGACTTATGCATGTACTTAACTTTATGAACCCCAAGTAGTCCCTTTGGGTGAAATCCTTGCCCCAGAGAGATCAATGCAAGTTTTGTCAGTGGGCTAGGATTTCACCCTTTGACTTTTGTGGGCTTGCTCACAGTGTGTAAAGTTAAGCAAGTATATACATTTCTGCCTTATATTGGACTGTCTATATTAATACATTCACACCAGTCACTACAATATTCATTCCACTTCACTTCTGATTCATGCACACATGTACCACCATAAGACAAGGGTCACACTAAACAAACCCATACACTATTCAGAATGTCTTTTCTCTGACATATTCTGCAATATTTCAGCGTGTTTGTGTTCTTTGAACCCACACCTCTCTCTGTGTGTCCCTCTCAAAGGCCTGAGACTGTTGCTCATTTTCCCTACTTTACAACCTCTGAAAAATTCTGTTCACATAATTTCCTAAAGGTATTTATTGGAGTTTTATGATGGGCTTCCTAGTTTTGTTACAGTTTCCTTACACACAGATACTCAGACACAAACACAAAACTAAACCCAGAAGATTATACTTAAATAATTTTTATCAATGCCAATTGTTAACTCGCATGAATATAACTGGAAAGAGACTGGAGGTTGTTTGGGATAAGGACGGTCTCTTAGGCCTTAACTACACTACATGAATAACGTAGCTGGAGTCAACATAGCTTAGGTCAACTTACTGCAGTGTCTACAACATGCTGCGTCAATGGGAGATGCTCTCCCATCTACTTCCCTTACTCCGGTGGAGTACTGGAGTTGACGGGAGAGTGATCTGAGGTTGATTTAGTGGGTCTTCACTAGATCCGATAAATCGACCCCAGGTCCATCGATCACCACAGTGTTGATCCCCCGGTAAGTGTAGACATGCCCTTAGGCCCTAATCCTGCAAAGACTTATGCACATGCTTCAATTTATGCATGTAAACAGTCACATTTAAAATTGACAGAACTACTCATGTGAGTTAAGTAAAACAAGTGTTAGCAGGATCAGGCCCTTACTGTATGTTTGTTCAGCACTGAGCACAATGGGACCCAGTCTTCACTGGGGTCTCTGGGGAGTACTGTAATACAAATCATAAATAAGAACAAGTTGTTTATAATTAATTATTCCTTAAAAGTAGATACCATCCAGTAGACACAAATCAGATAATTACTTTGTTCTTTTTCTTTTAATGGATGCATACATTCTTAAATCTTCACACTAGTCCATTCTAAATATTGACTACATTTTATTTGATTTAGTGTTAATGGACTGCATTAATTGGAAAGGAATAAGGGATGATTCAAATTCCCTTTGAGTTTCACACCAGGAGAGATGTGTCATGCAAAATTCCAATATAGATCACAGCTGAACATAATGTAGCTGTAATCTGTGCATTTTGCAATAGCTAGGAATGCATTCAATTTGCTTCTATTTTTAATGAAGGACAGTGAAACAGGAAGAAGACCTCAGACAAATTGCATCAAATTATGTGCACGTATAGGCAGGGACGAGGACGGAGGGGAAACTTTTCACTTCCTTGCAAATTCTTTTTCTTTCTTTCTTTCTTTCTTTCTTTCTTTGGCAGGGTTAAATTAAATGAACTGCATCGTGGAATGGAATGACTCAGGAGACTGTTAGTGAGAACAGTACCTTTAACCTATAGGTCACTGGTTTAAATATGGCCCAGGTCAGGAGTGAGCAAAAGTTGTAACCATGTGACTGTTTTCAAATGTAGAATGATGTAATGGTCTCAGTGCACTTACCAATGGACAGACGTGAATGTCATGTAATCCTCATCACCGCCATTATAACAAGGCATGTTGGCATCGTATCACTGGTTTTAATTAGTGCTACAGCATTAGCATTGCTAGCTTAATTTGCACAATCCCACCCAAGCAGCAGCAGAGCCTTGTTTTATGTATTCCTTCCTCTATTCCAGTGTCCTGTTTCATCATGACTGATTTGGATTGTAGGCTGTTTGGGGCAAGCAGTGTGTCCTTATCTGCTAGGTAAAGCACTATGCATACCTCTACTGCTATATAGAAATATGAAATAATCAAATAAATAGCAATACGATACATAATGA